GTTTTATGGGAAGAGAACCTGAGGCACAGAAGTACTGCCTCCATCTCCCTGACATCCCCAAATGGCAACTAAGAGTATATATTTCATTTAGTCCCATTTTCCATGAACTTGCAGGGTACAGCCTCTAGTAATTCATCCAGAATGTGCAGCAGCCTTGCCGCTTTGCGTCCCTGTGTGTCTGAACACACCTGTGTGCCCTGGGCCTCTCCCTTCTTCCTGCTTGAAGACTGACTCAGGCAGTCTCTTTGACATTTTTGATGCCTCTGACGTCACAGGGCAATTCACTGTCCTCGTGAGGCTGTCCTTTAACTGCCTTGCCATGGAAATTGACAAGAGGCCAAGGCACAACCCGACGATTACTGGAGATTTCAACTGAAGCACCAGAGAGACAGCGTTGTGGGAAGAGGGTCTGCCAACTAGCCAGCACAGGGGACTGGGAGGGGATTTTCATCAGCTGTGGAGGTGTGTGTTTCCCCTCAGCCAGGGCGTGTCAGACTGCACCCAGCTCACTGTCCTGTGCAGGGTGTGGCTCCTCCGTTTGCAGACCACATGCTTAGAGTGGCAGTGTTGCTCCTTCCCACCTTGCCGGGCAGGTCATCTGTTGGTGGCTTTGGGTTGTTCTGGGCCTGACCTTGGCTTAGGGAAGTCTCTAAAGGGGAAGTTGCGAGTCTCCTGTGGGAAGGGTGTGAACACTGCTCGCTCCTGGCTGGACTGAGGCAGGTGGATGCAAAACCAATCTGGGAGACGGATCCATGTCTGTTTGGGAGGGGCTGGAAGTGTTGAGTCTCACTTGTAGCCTGTCTCACTTGGAGCTTGCCTGGTGCTTTGTGTGTTTTAACTAGATTCAATTTCATTTGTTAGGGTATCTGATTCCTTAGGTTATGTGCTTTAGGAGAACAATGAATTTATTTTCCTGGACCTTTTCAAATAGCAGCCCCACTACATATTTGCATTGTGTTGCTAAAATATAAGTTTGTTTTTTAAAAAAAAAAACTATGCCAATAATCACACTAAAAAAGTAATGCTTCCTTAATACCACAGAATGCCCACGCATTAGTCAGTTTTATCATTTAAAAAGTTGATTTGGGCCCGGCGCGGTGGCACAGTGTTTAAGGTCCTCGCCTTGCACGCCTGGGATCCCATATGGGCGCCATTTCTAATCCCGGCAGCCCCGCTTCCCATCCAGCTCCCTGCCTGTGGCCTGGGAAAGCAGTCAAGGATGGCCCAAAGCTTTGGGACCCTGTGCCCGAGTGGGAAAGCTGGAAGAGGTTCCTGGCTTAGGATTGGCTCAGCTCTAGCCGTTGCAGCCGCCTGGGGAGTGAGTCATTGGACGGAAGATCTTCCTCTCCGTCTCTCCTCTCTGTATATCCACCTTTCCAATAAAAATAAAATAAATCTTTAAAAAATAAATAAAAAGTTGATTTATTTAAAAAATTATTTTATTTTGATAATCTTTACGAAGTTGATTAGGGCACCAAGGGTCAAGTGGTACAAGTAAGTGGGTAAGACCATTGTTTCCACATTATTTTTATTATTAGTATTATTATGATTATTATTATTTTCTAGATCTGGGGTAAGGGAAGAGATAAACGGAGAAGCCCCACCTAGCCTCCCACTCATCCCAGGGTCCCTGATGTGGGGTATACTCCAAAGGCACTGCTGAAATGGTTTAGATAGTTCTGCAGTTCTGAATTGCTGCCAGTCTTGCCATTGCAAGCATGATTAAATCTCACCAGAATCCACTGGCTGACATAGGCCACCTTAGAGTCCTCATTAGCCCAGATTTTCACTGTCAACGCAGGGCTGTGGTAGTTGATCCATTTGTTCTGTCCTCCATCCTCTGTTGAGGTACCAGGTCTCCTCTGCAGGTTCCGATGGAGTGCGATATCCTCCCTGTGCACTTGGATTTGCTGTCTACTGTTGCATCTGAGCCTCTGAGTAGGCTCAGCTTTAACACTTGTACTCCATGGTCAGACCATGGATGCATGGATTCAGACCAATTCTCTTCACGGTTGGGATTCTGAGATCAGGAGTTCAGTTGGAGGGATCCCCAAAGAAACTTCATTTGAGGTGATCCCAGGCCTGATTCTTGTGTGTGCATGCCAGTACAGGGTCCAGCACAGTCTGTCGTTCCAATCAGCTTATGCATATGCTAGTGGTTGCAATTGCTGGGTCAGTTCTGTTTCCAGCCCTATCTTCCACAAGAACCAATGGATGTTGCAGTCCAGCGAGATTCTGTCCACCTCACATTTGGCCCTCACGCAAACCAGTGGGAGCTGCAGCCTAGTTGGGGCAACTCCCTAAACCCCTACCAGGTCTGCCCCCTGCCCTGGTTCCCATGCTTGCCAGTATGTACAGCAGACTTGTCCAGTCTGTCCCATGTCTCATTCAGCTCTCATACATGTCAATGAGCACTGAAGCCTCCTCCAACCTAACCAACCCCACTATCCAGCCCACACACTTGCTGGAAGTTGCTGTTGTGTATCTAGCCACCACTGCCCCAGTCCTGATTTTCATGCTCTCCTGTGAGAGTGACAATCCAAGAGGGAGGTGTCCAGTATTTCCCTAATGGGCCAGTTCCCAATCTTGGATCTTATACTCTCCAGGTGGCTCTGCAGTTTAACTTGGCATTTTTTTCTCCTGTGCCAGCATCTGCCACCTGATGCTGTTACAAAACCCAACCTACCCACACCCACTCTGATTTGTGCTTGCACCAATAGGAACAGTCAACCTAGCCTGGCTTTTCTTTGATATAGCTCACATGTGGCCCACAGGTGTTGTAGCTCTACCCAGTCTGGACTACCCCAATCCCAACTCCTGCTCTTCAGTGTGAGTGGTGTTCCCACAAGGGAGCCCTCCACATTTCCCATACCAGCTTTAACCCTTCACACCCACTCCCTGGGCCCTGTGTGTGCTGGTTGGGTGCTGTGGCCTGGTCTGGATGAGTTACCTTACCTTAGCTTTTGCCAGTGAGTGCTGTAGCCTGGCCCAGCCCAGCCTACCCTCAATTCCAGCTCATGCTGGTAGTGGGGGGAAAAGAATAACCCAGCCCATCCAGCACTCAGTCCAAGCTGTAATGTGTACTGGTGTGTGTTGCAACTGGAACTGGCCCGACGCACACTCCATTCTGGTGCTTAGATATGCCAGCAGGCGATGTGAACTTGCCTGCCTGGATCGCCTCCTACCTGTGCCAAACGTATGCTGCTAGGTACCATTCCGTGGCCTGGTCTGAGCTTTCCCTATTATGGTTCCAGAAGCTGGCAAGATGCCCAGGGCAAACTGGGGTGGCACTTCCATGTTCTCTGAGCTGGCCAGCCAGCTAGCACCTTGACTGGGGCTGATCCCTTTGAAGGCTGAGAAGAGGGGTGCTTTACACCGTTATCCTGTTTAATCCCCCTGGCCTCTCCTGGAAGTAGCCAGAGTGTCAGAGTTACAGATGACAATGCTGTGGCTCAGACAGGTCAAGGTCCTTCCCCAGAGTCATCAGGTTTCTACAAACCACAGCCAGGACTTCAACTTGAGGTGTGAGAATTCCAAAGTGCACATTCTTGCTATGAGGCAGAGTCGTAGGAGTGATTAACCAACACCTTTCTGTTGCTGCATTGAGGAATTTGACCAAGCTTGGTCTCAGATTTGTGTCTTCAAGGGTTATACACTCTACTCAGGGGCATTTCCATGAGAACATGAGCCAGGAAAGTGGCTTTTTCTTACCTCTGCAGGTGAAGTGTCAGACTGGTCTTGACCTAAGGAAGCCAGAGAAGAGTTGTTACTGCATGGAAGTGCAAAGCTGACCTGAGACTTTATGATTTTGCGAGGCAGGTGGGGGGCAGGTCAGGGGATGTGGTGGTGGTGGTGAAGGTGGCCTGTGATCTGTCCCTGGTCAGACCTGCATACCAGTGCCAGTGCAGAGCAGAGGCAGAGCCACAGGAGGCCCCAGGCCACTTCTGGAGGTGCCTAACAGTTCACCGGCCTTGTTTCCTGCCCAGAGTGCTCGTCAGCAGCATACTGCAGTGGCAGAGAAGGGCATCTAAGTCCATAGCACCCAAAGCAGAACAGGACCAAAGGGAGAGGGCCACACCCATGACAGAGGCAGGAGGGGAAGGAATAAGGATGAGGAAATGGCTTCCAGAGCAGGAGGTGTTTCTCAGACCTGCCTGGCCCAGGCAGAGAGGGGCAGAGCCCCAGGGGACTCCTGTGACTGAGGAGGGTATGAGGACCTATGACCTATGTCAACTTAAGACTGGGAAATGGAGACCCCCTTGCACAAAATCAGAAGGTATCCAATGATTTAGGAATCTAAGATTCCCGGCCAGGACAGGGTGAGTGGGAACATCCAGTCCTCACTGGGTGAGTGGCTTTACTCACTGTGGTTGGAGGTTGAGGGGTTGTACTGTGTGAGATGGTGCTGGTCACTTGCCCTAAACAAACGTCAGACACTGACTGCTATTCCTGAGCAGAGCATCTGGGTTGGGAAGGGGCTTGTGGATGCTCGTGGTCACTGCCTTTCTTCTCGGGGCTCACTTCCATCTAAACACAACCCCATCTAGTCCTTGACTCCTTTGCTGTTTGCTAGATTCAGGTGCGTTTCTTCTTGGCTGCTTCCACCCTATGGTCTTCACCATTTAGTTTTTCCAGGGGTGGTTCTTTATATTTTTTGTTACTTTATTTGTTCTCTAAACTGCCTTCCTTGAGGCTGGCTTCCTGTCCTGTCCCTCCTGCAGCACCGGTCAGCAGAGCATAGGAGTTGCCTGCTCCTGCTGCTGCTTTTCTTGCCTCATCTGTTTCTTTCTGTGACTGGGGATGGAGCAACAGAACAGGTGAGGACGAAAGAGACAGCAGGGCTCAGTGGCCATGAAGACCCAGTGGAAAAGACACCTGCAGGAATTCCCACAGAGAAGCAGGGGAGACCCAGGCCCTGAGAGAGAGTTGAAGGAGTCCTTTCCCCCTCCCAGCTTGGCAGTTAGCCTTGGAGGACGTCGGGGACAGGAGGAAAGGCTGTCCTACCTGCGGTTCTTGCTGCAACACACAATAAAGGCCTGGATGCATGTCAAAATGCATGGCAAGATCAGCACAATGAAGGCTCCAATCACGATGCCGGCAATGGCCCCAGGCAGGAGGTGAGTATTTTCTGTATCGATAGCTGGGTAAAAAGAGATGAAGGTGAAATGTGAAATGATTTGGCTGTGAGCATGCCCTGAGGAACAGCTTGTCCTTCAGGGAATAATCTTCTGGGAGGATGACTGAGACTACTGAGTCCTTGTCACTTTCCCTCTTAGTGGTCATGAGGCCTCCCTTAATTCTGTCTTTCTGAATGTAGATGTTTCTGAAGGCTCAGGGAATGTGAGAAAGGCTGGTGGCTGCTTTTGCCTGTTCTAGCTTCCTGCCTTTTCATGGTTGCATGAAGATAGAGGAGCTCTCTTTCTATATCTCCTTCTCTTGCTCTATAAATCTGCCTTTCAAAGAAAAATAAGTAAATATTTGAGAAAATGTTTTTCCTAGCCATAGGATTAGAGATTAGTTTCAATAGAGAAAAAGAATTTTTGGCCTAGCACAATTAGTAGTGGCTAAATCCTTGACCTGCACGCCAATGATCCCATGTTGGCACCGGTTCGTCTCCTTGCTGCTCCACTTTCCATCCAGCTCCCAGCTTGTGGCCTGGGAAAGCAGTTTAGGATGGCTCAAAGCCTGGGGATCCTGCATCCATGTAAGTGTCCCAGAAGAAGCTTCTGACTTCAGATCAGCTCAGATCCGGCCATTTTGGAAGATCTTTGTTTGTCTTTCAGTAAATCAGCCTTTCAGTGAGTAATAAATAAATCTTAAAAAAAGAATTCTGTGCAATAATTATAACCTGAAATGCTTTTAGGAACAAAGAAAACCTCAAATCAGCAACCTAATTTTCAATAAATGGATTGAAAAACATCAAACTGAAATTATAGCTTGTTGAAGAGAGGAGATAATAGTGATTAGAGATTCTAAAAAGATAGAGAATAAAAAATTAAAAATGGATAAAAGGTAGTTCTTTAAAAATATTGACTAAGAAAAAAAGAGAGAAGACTGGGATTGCTAATGACAGATATGAAAGTGGAGCTGTTACTACCAATTCTGTGGAAGCAATAGGGATTATAAGAAGACTGTGAATAACCGTATGTGAACACATTGGGTAAACTAGATCAAATGGACAAATTCCTAGAAACAAAATCTAAGAAAATGAAATTATGAATAAAACTATATATATGCACATGTATACACATATATGTATCTATACACATATGTATATACTGTAAGGAAGGCAAAAACATTTAAGCATTTGACAAAATTCAACATATTTTTATGATCAGAAATGCTCAAAGTAGGAATAAGAAAAACAACCTTGCTGTTATAAAGACAGTACTGAAAAGGCCACAGTCAACATGATACTCAGACTTCTTGTCTTCTAAGATCAGAAATTCAAGGCTGCCTGCTTTTGTCACTGTATTCAACATATATCCATGCAGAAGAAGAACGTTGAACCTTTCTCTGATGCCATATACAAAAATTAACTCAAAATGGATCAAAGATTTCAGTGTAAGAGCTAAGAGTATGAAACACTTTAAAAATAGGTTAAAGTTAGTGCTACCCTGAATTTGGTAGTGATTTTGGTTACAACACCACAAGCACAGGTAGTAAAGGAAAAAATAGATAAATTGGATAGAAAATTTAAAACTTGTGCAATGAAGATCATTATCAATAAAGTGAAAAGGCAGCCTATGGAAAGGTATAAAACATTTGCAAATCATGTACCTGATAAAGGATCAATGTGCAGTCCATGTGAAGAACTACTACTATTTGCAGCCCAATGTGGTAGCCTAGTACCTAAAGTCCTATTCTTGCATGTGCCTGGATCCCCTATGTGTGCTGGTTCTAATCCATGTGGCTCTGCTTCCCATCCAGCTCTCTGTTGTGGCCTGGGAAAGCAGTGAAAGATGGCCCAAAGCCTTGGTACCCTGCGTCTGTTGGCAGACCCGGAAGAAGCTCCTGGCTCCTGTGTTTGGACCAGCCAGCTCTGGCCATTGTGGCTGCTGGGGGAGTGAATCAGCAGACAGAAGATCTTTCTGTCTCTCCTCCTCTCTGTAAATCTGGCTTTCCAATAAAAATAAATAAATCTTAAAAAAACCACAAAACTATAACTAGTGGTCAGCACTGTGGCTCAACAGGCTAATTGTTCACCTTTGAGCGCTGGCATTCCATATGGGAACCAGTATGTGTTCTGGCTGTTGCACTTTTGATCCAGCTCCCTGATTGAGCCTGAGTAAGCAGCAGAGGCTAGCCCAAGTCCTTGTTCCCTGCACCCATGTGGGAGACCTAGAAGAAGCTCCAGGTTCCTGGCCTCAGTCCAGCCTGGTGCAGCCCAGTCCAGCCATTATAAGCATTTGGGGAATAGACTAGTGCATGAAAACTCTTTCTCTCTTCTCTGTAAATCTGCCTTTCTAATAAAAATAAATATTTCTTTAGAAGGACTACTACAACTCAGCAACAACAACAACAACAACAAAACCCACAAAATAATCCCATTAAGATAGACAAAGGACTTAAAAGGTATTTCTGCAAGGAAGACGTAAAAATAGTCAAAAACACATGAAAAGGTTTACATCATTAATCCTTAGCATGTACATATCAAAATCGCAATGATATATCATCTTCTTATTAGGATGGATTAAAAAAAAAAAAAAACAGCTAGGGCCCAGCTTGGTAGCTTAGTGACTAAAGTCTTTGCCTTGCATTTCCTGGATCCCGTATGGGTGCCGGTTCATGTCCTGGCTGTTCCACTTCCCATCCAGCTCCCTACTTTTGGCCAGGAAAAGCAGTGGAGGATGGCCCAAAGCCATGGAATCCTGAACCCACGTGGGAGACCTGTAAGAAGTCCTGGCTTCAGATTGGCTCAGTCCTAGCCGCTGTGGCCACTTGCGGAGTGAATCAGCAGATGGAAAATCTTCCTGTCTTTCTTCGCCTCTGTATATCTGTCTTTCCAATAAAAATAAGTAAATATTAAAAACACAGAGCTAATGTTGGAAAGGCTGTGAAGGAATTGGGCGTGTTTTCCATTGCAGGCAGAAATCAAAAATGATGCAGCTCTGCTGTTGTAAATGGTGTGACAGTATCTCACAAGTAAAGGAGTAACATTATCTCCAGCAGTTTGCTTGTGGGTACACACCCCAAACAATCCAAGGCAGGATTTCAGAATCTTGTTATATCTATGTTCACATCAGCATTATTCACAATTGCTGAAAGGTTGAAACAACTCAAAAATTTATCAGCGCATGAATGGATATGCAAAAGGAGATGCATCTATACAATGGAATATTAGAAAGTGTTAAAAAGGAAAGAAATTCTAATATATCTGCAATGCTGATGAATCTAGAATCGTTATGCCAAGAGAAACAAACCAGACCCAGAAGGACAGATATGGTATGATTCCAGCATGTGTGGCACTTGGAATAGTCAGATGTGTAGTTTGAGACATAGAGTGCTGGTTGCCGTGGGCTGGAGACAGAGTGGAGCTCTGTTTAGTGGGTGCAGAGATTTAGGATGGCAAGATGGACAGGTTCTGGAATAGGATAATTGTGATGGTTTGCACGTGAGTGTGAATGTACTTAATAACACTGAACCATACATACAAGTGACTAAAGTGGGTCCCAGCGTGGTAGTCTAGTGGCTAAAGTTCTTGCCTAGCATGTGCTGGGATCCCATATCAGCACCCGTACATATCCCAGCAGCCCCACTTCCCATCCAGCTCCCTTCTTGTGTCCTGAGAAGGCAGTGGAGGACAGCCCAAAGCCTGGGACCCTGCACCCGCATGGGACATCTGGAAGAATTTCTGACTTCGGCTTGGCTCAGCTCCAGCTGTTGTAATCACTTGAGTAGTGAATCAGCGGGTGGAAGATCTTCCTCTGTGTCTCATCTCTCTGTATATCTTATTTTCCAATAAAAATTAATAAATCTTTAAGAAAACACCAAATTGTAACTTTCATATAGATTTTAGCACAAACTTCCTTTCCTCACTAAAATGAAAGAAGGAAGAAAAAAGGAAAGAATAAAAGAGAAAGGAATCTTGTGTAAGGTCTTACAGGAAATGCCAATCCAGGACTAAGAAATTAAGTGTATTTGATTCAGAGCAGGCCTCTTAACTATAAGGTTCTCTGAATACATTTTCTGTCCCTGGGACTTTTATCCACTGTACACACCATTGTTAGAGTCATCTTCCCAGTGGGATGCCCAGGGGTTAAGGAGTCACATACCTCTCACAGCTATCCTGACAGGGTCACTCCTTCTGGAACAGTTCAGGTAGAAGACCTCACACTGGTACTCCCCTTCATCCTCCATCATGACGGGTTCTATTGTGAGAATGCTGTTGTCTGAGGACAGGTTCATCCTCTCTGTGAGCTGCAGACTCTGGCTATTAAAGATCCAATGAGTGGATATTACAGGAGCATGTGTTTGGCAGGTTAGGACCAGAGAGTCCTTTTCTCTGACTATGGGGTAGAAGGCCTGGATGACTGGCCCTGTAGAGAAGAGAGTAAGGCTGGGTGAGGGTGGGCCTGGGATCTGGACCCCCTTCCTCTCAGAGATCTCAGCCGACTCTCAGAATGCAGAGTGAGCGTGTGGATGTGACCCAGAGGACAGCCCTGACCCTCTGTAGAGGCCACGTGTCTGTTCAGGTGATCTGTAAGGGGAGAATTGTCCCTGCCTCTGACCTCAAAGCTCCCAGAGTGACCTGACCAGCTCCCCGGATAGCCCTGTAGTGTCTGTGCTGGAAATTTCTCAGCCTATGGCATCAGCAGTTTCATGGTCAAGCAGAATGATTCTCCAGGAACTTTTGCAAAACCTTCCAATGACTCTTAAGAGATCAAGTTAGGGGTTGGCATTACGCCATAACAGATGAAGCTGCCCATGATGCCAGCATCCCCTATGGGAACTGGTTTGAGACCCAGCTGCTCTGCTTCCAACCCTGGTCCCTGCTAATGCACCTGGGAAAGCAGCAGCAGACGAGCTCTCCTGTGGGAGACCTGAGTGGAGTTCTAGGCTCCTGACTTCAGCCCGGCCCAGCCCTGGCCGATGCAGCCATTTGGAGAGGGAATCAGTAGATGGAAGCTATTTCTGTCTCCATTCTCTCTCTCTCTCTGCACATGCACATGTATGCCTTTCTGTAAGTCTATTTTAAAAATAAATATTTTTAAAAAGATGATCCAGATATTACACCATAAATTTCGAAATTCAAAATAAATAATAAAGATGGTCATGGCTCTTCCTGGTACTGTGGCTTTACATGCAGAGAGATGTTTCCTTTTTCTTAAATGAGTTACTAGGAAACGCAGATGACCTGTTCAATCTTCACAACATTAGGGCCTAGAAGTGTTCTGTTTGAAAGATTTATTTTATTTGGTCTCGGTGCAATGGCTTAATGGCTAAATCCTTGCCATGTATGTGCTGGGATACCATTGGGGGCTGGTTTGCGTTCTAGCTGCTCTACTTCCCATCCAGCTCCCTGATTCTGGCCTGGAGAAGCAGTAGAGAATGGCCTGGGCCTTGGCTCCCTGCAGCTCATGGGAGACCTGGGGGAGGCTCCATGCTGCTGGCTTTGGATCAGCTCAGCTCTGGCCATTGTGGTCACTTGGGGAGTGAGGCAGCAGATGGAAGATCTCTCTATCTCCTTCTCTGTGTAAATCTGCCTTTCTAGTAAAGATAAAACTTTTTCAAAGTGTTTATTTATTTAAAGTGTAGAGTAACAGAGAGAGGGAAGAAAGATCTTCCATCCACTGGTTCATTCTCCAAATGGCCATGATGGCAACTGCTGAGGCAGTCTGAAGTCAAGAACCGGGAACTTCCTCATGTGGGTGCAGGGGCCGAAGGACCAGGGCTGTCCTCCACTGCTTTCCCAAGCACAGTTATCAGGTGACTGGATCAGAATGGAGAAGCTGGGACTCGAACTGGCATCCTATAGGATGTTGATACTATAGCTGGCAGCTTTACCTGTCTCACCATAGCTCTGGCCCCAAAGGTTCTAATCTAAAGGATTCTCCAACCTAAGGGAGCTTTTACTTCCTAATGTTAGATTAAGTACCAGGAGGCAGGAAGTCCTCAGAGAGAAGACAGCATCCTCACCCTCTTCATGGATTGTACAGTTTCTGGCACTGCTGCTTCCACCACAGGGAGACTCCACAGTGAGCTTCCCCAAGTGAGCACCACTCACTCCCCTGTGCTGCATCCCATATGCTGGGACCAACAGCAGGGACGCTGTGACCACAGAACCAGAATACATTGCAGAAAAACAAAACAAGAAAAAGAAAACAGTGCAGATGTGTCTGCCCCAAGACTCTCTTCCTGACCCGGTGGGTGCTCCAGCCTATCTCAGCCCCTTCTTCACCCTTCCCAGTGCCATCGCAGATGGAGTCAGAGCCCTGCCAGTCTCCAGGTGAGCAGGGCAGAGCAGGGAGCAGAGCTCTGAGCAGCTCAACCCCATCTTGGTGAGAGCATTTCAAAGTCCCCTACGTTCCCTGTAGCTCATGCAGGAGGTGAAACAAAACCGAGGTGACAGGAAGAGATGAGTTGGTGGCAGATGTAACTGTCACTGAGGACCCTTCTGCACTCCTCTGGTGGCCTCTCTGGGGCTGGAGGAACCCCACAACTTCCAGCCACGAGAGGTCAGTGGCAGGTTCAGTCTGAGGCAGAGTTAGGGTGTTCAGAGGAGGTCTGGGGTTGGCCTGTGCCTTTAAGCACAGACTGGGAAATGGTTTCTTCTAGGCTGTTCTCTACAAACCCACCATAGATCACTCTACTCCCACCACACCATTCCCAAGCTTAACAAAGACCTTTTAGGCCCACTTACCATAGACTGTGATGTTCCTAACAGCAGTGTTATTGAGTCCAGTGTTGGAGTTATGGACCTCACAAGTGTAAGACCCACTGTCACTTGTAGAGATGATGGGTATGTGGAGTTGTTGAGTGGATCCCCAGATCTTCCCATTGATGAGCCAAGTATACTGTGCAGGTGGATTAGAGTCCGCCTCACAGAAGAGTGTGAGGTTGGTTCTTGAACAGTAGTTCTCCTCTGAGGGGGAAATGGTGGGGGAGTCCGGGCCATCTGGAGTGAACAGAATATAGAACCACACAGGATTATCTTAGGAGATGATTATCATCATCTGAAGCCCCATTATCCCTCTGAGCCATGCCCCATCCACAACCCTTGTGCTCACTGGGCCTTGGCCTGCAACGGTCACTTGTTTCTGCATCACGGATGGGTGACCAGAGCCTCTTTAGGCAGGGATAGCCCACTCCTCATTCTCAGCTCAAGGCTGAACCTGTCCATGTTTGCCAGAGATAGGAAGTCCCTGCCAGCCAGACAGTCCTTATTCTTGGACCTGCGATGGGCCCGAGTGGCCTGGCCTCTGGCCATGAGGGTTTGGGCCAGCAGCCCAGGCACGGAGGAGGAGACATTACTCACAGAAAACATCCAAGGTGTGTGAGTTCCTGAAGATGACAGTCGTTGAGTTCCTGATTTCACACTCATAGATTCCTGTGTCATTCCTGGTGACATTGAGCAGAGTGAGGGTCCTGTTGTTCGAGGACAGCTGCAGCCTATCAGGGATCTCCTGGACTTCCTCACCATCTTTGTACCACTGGTAGGTCATGCCCGGAATGTCAGGTTCACAAGTTAATACAAGTTCCTTGCCCTCAATGGGCTTGGAATCGTTGATAATTTGGATGTCTGTGCAGGAACAAAGATCACCCTGTGTGGGTTATTTGATTCCTCTGAAAGCCTCCTCCTATCAAAGTTGGCATCTCTTTTCACCCAGCCAACCTGAGTCCTAAAAGAACCAGGCAGGTGTGTGTGTGTGTGTGTGTGTGTGTGTGTGTGTGTGTGTGTGTGTGTGAGAGAGAGAGAGAGAGAGAGAGAGAGAGAGCTGCATGACAACCTGGGTGGTGGGAGAAAGTGACACCCATGTGCTCCCCCTGCCTGGAAGACGCACAGACTTTGTCAGGTATGAATTAAGCAGGTGCATTTTGTCATGAACAAAGCCAGGACCTGGAGTTAGAGACCCCTCTCCCCCAGTGCCTTGCCAGATCCTTGCTGACCACCAGCTGTCCACCTGGTCCAGGTGAGAATGCTTACCTGGAAGGTGTGGGTGCTGAGTCCCTCTAATGCATGACACTACATTGCGCAGTCCAAATGGTTTCTCTGAGGCTTTGTTTTTCAACAACATCTTAAGGATGGATCATAGCAAGCACAGGAGATGGGGTGAGGGGTGAGTAAAGATAATACCTGGAGGCCATGAGCAGCCAGGCAGCTGTGGGGACCCAAAGAGAGGATGCTCTGCCAACTGTTGGGTGGTGATTGACATGAGCTGATGAACACCTCAACGATGGAGTCCAGCGGCTGGCTCCACCGTGTGGTGGGCTAAGCCTCCACCTACTGCATTGACATCCCATGTGAATACCGGTTTGGGTACCAGCTACTTCCCTTCCTATTCAGCTCCTTGCTTATGGCCTGGGAAAGCAGTGGAAAATGACCCAAGTCCCTGGGAATCTACACTGTGTGGTATACCAGGTAGAAACTCCTGGTTCCTGGTTTCAGATCTGCTCAGCTGCCGTTGTTGCAGGCATTTGAACAAGCAGATGGATGGTCTTTCTCTCTGTGTCTACTCTGTATATCTGGCATTCCTACACACACACACACACACACACACGCTTCTGTCCTAAGCTTGTGGAGAGTCAGAGAAAGGTGAAGGTGTAGAAGATGCCTGCTTTCTTTTCTCTGAGGCATCACCCCAGTCTTGGATCAAATGATTCTGAAGTGAGCAGAACCTAAGTGAAACCATAATGTCTCCTGCATCTCCCCCAGTAATGGTGTCACCATGATGTCACATGTACATGTGGAATGGACAGAAAGTCCATGGGATTTGTACTGATTTCTGTGTCTTGGGAGAAGGACCGGGGAACCACTAGAGGTATGTGAGCCCCACACTATGGGTGAGCAGGCAATTGAGTGGAATGAGGGATAGACTCTAGGGAGGAAGGGCCTGTCCTTTTTCCTCTGACCCCTGTCAGAAGAAGACAGAGGAGTCACTCTTCATGCTTGTGGCCTGTTGGTGTCCTGGCAGGAGACGTCCTGGACAGGGACCTGGGTTAGACTCTCTCCTGGGGGATGGGGGACACTGGCTCATGATGGAGCCTGTCAGGGGTGGCTGCCTCAGCTGATTTCTGTGCCTGGTCCAGGTGTTAGCAGGAGGAATCAGGACAGTCACCATAGCAGGAGGTCTGGGAAAGGTAGGGTGGAGGAAGCCGTGCAGAGCAGGGCCTGTCCTGCCTGGAATGAAGAGGGAGGAAGACGAGAGACATGGAGAGCAGAAGGAGGCAGAAATGCCCACGGCAGGGTGCAGTGGTGGCATGGGTACTTAGGGCCCCACAGATGCCCCGGAGCAAGTCCAGAGAGGCTTGAAAACCCTGAGCAACCTCAGAGTCACAGACTGGGCTCCTAGAGAGGCTTTAGGGTCAAGTGGGCAGAGCGAGAAGGGTTAGGTGTGGCTGGATTCTCTGGTACTCTGCATCCAAACACCAGTTCTTAAAAGTATGTTGGGCCATTCATTCATTTACACTTCATTCCTTCCCTCCTTTGTCAGAGAGCCCTGGGGCATCAGGTGCACTTTAGGCCCAGGCTGGTTGTGGGGTGTAGACTAAGAGTGAGAAAGCAAAGTCCTTCCCTTACAACACTAACACACCGGAAACAGACACATAGTTTCAAATCCACTAAAGGAGGATGTGGATACCCCTGAGGGAGAGGCCTGGACATTCTTGGAATTGAGTCTCTATCAATGCAGTTCCAGAGTAAAAACTGATTAACTCCAAATATACCCCCTTTCTGTAGATCAGAATCTGTCCTTCCAGGTTGTGGATTCCCAAAAACAAGGTCTCCAGAGAGGGACATTTTGTCTAGCGGTTAGGATGCTGGTTAGGGTGCTGGTTAGGGTGCTGGTTAGGATGCTGGTTAGGGTGCTGGTTAGGATGCTGGTTAGGATGCTGTTTAGGGTGCTGATTAGGCTGCTGGTTAGGATATCTGTGTCCTACATCTAGAGTGCCTGGGTTGGATCCTCTGCTCAGCTCCTGACTCTAGCATCCTGCCAGTGTGCACCCTGGGAGGCCTTAGTGATGACTCAAGTGACTGGGTTTCTTTCACCCACTAAAGAGACATGGATTGAGGGTCCAGCTCAGTAGCCCAGCAGCTAAAGTCCTTGCCTTGCGCACGCTGGGATCCCATATGGGTGATGGTTCTAATTCCTGCAGCTCCACTTCCCATCCAGCTCCCTGCTTGTGGCCTGGGAAAGCAGTCGAGGACAGCCCAAGCCTGGAACCCTGCACCTACGTGGGAGACCTGGAAGAAGTTCCTGGCTCCTAACTTCAATCAGCTCAGTTCTAGACATTGTGACCTTCTTGGGGAGTAAATCAGCAAATGCAAGACCTCTCTTTCAATGAAAAAAAAAAAAGTGAAATCTTGAAGAAAATGTTTTCTCCCCCAATTTTTGTCTTTGTTATTTCAGCTGGCACCATGGACAGGGACTGAGTTTTGGAAACAGCTCTTTGGAGTTCCCCCATTAGATTCTCATCCCTCCCTCTCAGCAAAAGCCTGCAGGGTCTGGGTTCTGGAAAGGACTCTGGTCTTTGGAAGTTTGTCCTCCTTGGACGTGTCCTGCCCTGAACGCTCACATCCCAGCAAAGGACAGGAGGCAGAGAGGTGGGGGAGACAGGTACCATGCAGGCTTCAGGGCCCCGTGTGTGGGAAGTAGAGTGAACACCCCCCACTTACACACAGAGGTACTGAGTCCCAGAGGTCACAGAGGGGGCACTCACTGTAGACGTAGAGCGGTGTGGTTGCCAAATGCTGATCATAAGAACCATCCACGATTCGTAGGGTGTAGTTTCCTGTGTCCTCCTCACTGACATTCTGGATCAGCAGGGACCCATTGGGAAATATTCTTTCTCGATGGGTGTAATCAGGCCCTGTACTATTGGTTCCTAAAGGTACCTCAAACGATGCAATGAGAAGGCTTGAATTGGTGTCTGTTTGCCCTTTATACCAGGTGTATAATCGAGGATTCTCTACCGGATTGTTGATGAGGAAAAGCACATCTGTCTCGTTAGCAGCAATGGGTGACACAGGTTCCACAGTGAATGCAGCCATGGTGGGCAGGATCCAGACAATTAGAAGTGAGTCTGGGAGGGCAGAGAGAAATTTCAGTGTGGCAACGGAGGGAAGTTGTGTTGGGTGGAAAGATGGGGCCCTGGGTCCAGAGCAGTTCACTTCATCCCTCAGTCCTGAGGAGTGTGTATTTGTTGGTTTGTTGGTTGTGTCTGCTACTGGGTCAAGGCCAGAAGCATGATCTCCACTCCTTCAGTGCCTCTGAACTTGCATCCCTGCTTACCTTACACCCTCAGTGCTGCTGAATCGTACTTAGAGTTAGGGGTCATCCTGGAGCCGCCTTCCTGGACCAGCACCTCTAGAAGCTGGGTTGTCATTTCTGACCTCTCCCTGCTCTGGCCTCACCTTCTAGATCTCTGCTGGTCTGTCTCCTCCCTGGTAGAGTGGCAGCTCCATGAGGACGGGGATGTATCTAGTGTGAGTTGCAGGCCCCGTGCCTGGAAGAAACTGCACACTCCTGGGGGTGAAGTGATGAGTGTTCCCTGGCCCTGCACACCCAGGCAAGTGTTTGTCAACTTCTGGGTTAGTGGTCGAGGGAGCTGTGCTTTTATTTGGAGCATCACTCTGATACTTACATTCCTAATTTTCAAATGTAGGGGCAGTGATGATGAACCAGGAAAACAGAGCAGCTGAGGCTCTCCTGGCCTTTGCCAGTGCCACTTCACTGACAGCTTCCTGTTGCTGAGGCCCCACCCACAATTCAGCTCCAGAGGGAAGCCCTGTGCCCCTTTTTACAGCCCAGTCCTCCCCTGAAACCCCAGCTGGTCTCTGTGTCCCCAGCCACCCACCCCTGCACACCCCCTCACCTGCCAGCAGGAGCCCCTGCCAGGGGACATGGCCTCTGCGTGGAGAAGCTGAGGGGTTCTCCATGGCGTCTGCTGTCTGCTCTGACCTCCCTCTTGGAGAGGCACTCCCAGCTCCAGCTGCTCCCAGCTCTGCTGTCCTGCCTGCCTCTGCACTGAGCCTCCTTCCAGAACAGGAGCATTTGACAGGGTCACATGGGCTGGGGGCGGGCCCTCTGCCCAGGAGGCCTCCCTGTGCCCTTCCCTCTCAGTCCTGCCTCCTTGACCCTTCTCCTTTAACTCGAAGTTTGGGTTTCCCAGATCACGCTTTGACAAGCAGGGCTGTCCTGTGACAGACAAACTGCCCACCTTAGCACAGACTTTTGCTGTGTCCAGGCCTTGGGTCTGCTCTCTCAGCACTACACGGAGAGCCCCTGGGGTCCCCGAACTTACTGAATTAGTTCCCTTTGTGATGTAGAAATCTGACTGTGCATAGGGTCTTTCTCATGTTCTCGAATGCTCTGGGGAGGTGGGATTTAGTCTAGCAGGAGGCAGAGGTGGCTCTGGGAGCTGGGCAGGAGCTGGCTGAGTGATGAGAGAGACCTCTCTATCTCAGTGCACTCAGCTGACATCTGACCAGGGAGCAGGTGTCTCAGGAGGAGTTGCGGCCCTGGGTGTGCAGGGCAGCGTCCTGCCTGACCTGGGAGATGACTGAAGAGGAGGGTGTCGGATGGACAGGATCCCTGTTGTCTTGTGTGTGTTCTAGAAGCTCCTCCCTCCCCGTGTGTGTTGGTTGAGCTGTGGCTCAGGACTGTCCATGTCCTCCCTGGCTGTCCTGGGTGACCTCTACTTCTGACTTCTCTCTTCTCCTGGGGTCATTCTGCCTGTGAGTGATGCCTAGAGGGAATGGTGGCTGCCCAGAGACCTCTTACATAGCAGGGTCCTCATGGGCCCAGGAGGGTGTGTGAGACACAGTGGACACACAGGAGAGACCCCGAGGGTCTGTTGTAACAACCCATGGAAGCCAAGTTCCTTTGCACTCCCTGCCCAAAGGCAGATTGATCTCAAAGAATTCAAGGACTCTATGACTTTAGCTACTAGGCTAGCCACCTTTTGTTTTAAGCCATGCTTATTCAACTTCATGGTCAAGTTATCATTGCATTTAGCTATCAATAAGAATAGGTACAAAGAGGGGAAAAAAGGAAAGAAAAACCTCAATAAAACCCTCTATTGGAATGTTTTGCAGTTTCCATAGATCAGAAACTAAAGTAATTTGCTGCACAATTAGTCACAAATGCAGTACTCAAGTTATTTGTGTGTGTGCATACACCTGAGTGTTGTCTAAAACATGTCTTGTTTGTAACAGCTGGGCCCTGTCACCAGCTGTTGGCTGGAGTTCACCAATCTGTACTAACTGATAACTTCTCTGTGATTTGTCTGGCTCTCATCTCCTGCTCAGCTGCTTCCTGGCAGTTGTCAAAGCCTTCTGCCAGTGCCGTAACTTCTGCTGCTGCTAGAACTGCCATCGCCAAGATGGTCTCCTGCTTTGGCAGAATGGTGCCTCGCAGCACCCCAGCAGCCAGAGCTTCTGCTGAGGCTTCAGTTAGAAGTTACATACTGAGAAAAGGTTCCCAGTCCCAGGCTAGGTGGGCCCCCACGGTACTGGTGATGGCATTGCTGCTGACAGAGTGCCCAGGCACCTGCCAGGGTCCAAGGGTGTAATCACAGGAGCTGCACCTGATGACCCAGGCTGATTCAGTTACCTCCCACGGGCTCCACACAACTGGATTAGGTTTCTGCCCTTGTGCTGCCATTAGCTTAAGACTTCAGGGTTTACATTTCTGCTTGAGTTTAGTGGCCAACTCATATTCAAATTATGGTGAGAGAGAAGCATCAGGTAGGGATTAGATGAGATTGTCCACTGTGTGGTACTGTGTCATAGGCTGGGATACGGCTCCTGTGTCTGACTGCTGGTGTTCACTGTTCGCTCACTGTGAAGTGTTGGATGTGGAGGAACTCCACAGCAGCCCCTGACACCAGCCCTCCTGAAGGATATACAGCTGTGATCCCTGTTTTATGGGAAGAGAACCTGAGGCACAGAGGTACTGCCTCCATCTCCCTGACATCCCCAAATGGCAACTAAGAGTGTATATTTCATTTAGTCCCATTTTCCATGAACTTGCAGGGTACAGCCTCTAGTAAGTCATCCAGAATGTGCAGCAGCCTTGCCGCTTTGCGTCCCTGTGTGTCTGAACACACCTGTGTGCCCTGGGCCTCTCCCCTCTTCCTGCTTGAAGACTGACTCAGGCAGTCTCTTTGACATTTCTGATGCCTCTGACGTCACAGGGCAATTCACTGTCCTCGTGAGGCTGTCCTTTAACTGCCTTGCCATGGAAATTGACAAGAGGCCAAGGCACAACCCGACGATTACTGGAGATTTCAACTGAAGCAGCAGAGAGACAGCGTTGTGGGAAGAGGGTCTGCCAACTAGCCAGCACAGGGGACTGGGAGGGGATTTTCATCAGCTGTGGAGGTGTGTGTTTCCCCTCAGCCAGGGCGTGTCAGACTGCACCCAGCTCACTGTCCTGTGCAGGGTGTGGCTCCTCCGTTTGCACACCACATGCTTAGAGTGGCAGTGTTGCTCCTTCCCACCTTGCCGGGCAGGTCATCTGTTGGTGGCTTTGGGTTGTTCTGGGCCTGACCTTGGCTTAGGGAAGTCTCTAAAGGGGAAGTTGCGAGTCTCCTGTGGGAAGGGTGTGAACACTGCTCGCTCCTGGCTGGACTGAGGCAGGTGGATGCAAAACCGATCTGGGAGACGGATCCACGTCTGGTTGGGAGGGGCTGGAAGTGTTGAGTCTCACTTGTAGCCTGTCTCACTTGGAGCTTGCCTGGTGCTTTGTGTGTTTTAACTGTATTCAATTTCATTTGTAGGGTATTTGATTCCTTAGGTTATGTGCTTTAGGAGAGCAAGGAATTTATTTTCCTGGACCTTTTCAAATAGCAGCCCCACCACATATTTGCATTGTGTTGCTAAAATCTAAATTGTTTTTTTAGAAAAAAACTATTCCAATAATCACACTAAAAAATTAATGTTTCCTTAATACCACATAATGCCCAACCATTGGTAAGTTTTATCATTTAAAAAGTTGATTTATTTTAAAAATTACTTATTATTTTATTTTGATAATCTTTACGAAGTTGATTAGGGTATAAAGGGTCAATTGGTACAAGAAAGTGGCTAAGACTGTTGTTTTCACATTATTATATTTTTCTAGATCTGGGGTAAGGGGAGAGATAAAGGGAGAAGCCCCACCCAGCCTCCCACCCATCCCAGGGTCCCCAATGTGGATCATACTCCAAAGGCACTGCTGAAGTGGTTTTGACATGCTCACCAGTGGGAACTACCACCGAGCTGAGATATCCCCTTAGCTCCCCAACCATGCTTGTTCCCAGCCACAGATGTTGTGTATGCCAGTAGTTGCTCTGACCCAGCTTGGCATAGCCCCTCACCTGTCTTGGCCTTTTCCTGCAGATGCTGCAGCCTGGCCTGGCTCAGCCAGCACGCAGTCCCATCTCTCACTGGCGGGTGTTGTAACCTGGCCCTACTCAGTCTGCTCCCATATTTGGTTCATGCAAATCAGTAGGAGGGATAGCCTAGCCCAATGTGATGTGCATTGCAACCTGGCCCCTGCACTTTTGCCAATGGACTGAGATTTACTCTGCCATGTCTAGTCTGCCCCCTTTCAAAACCAACCCACACACTTGATGGTGGGCGAAGCTACCTTGCCCAGCTGATCAACATCTAGGCATGAACCACATGCTCTCCAGCAGGAGGTATGGCCCACCGGTGGAATTTCCCAAGTTCCCACACCAGGCCCACTCCAAGATTCAGATCTCATATGTGGCCAGTAGATGCTAGGTCCCTACCTGGAACTGTCTACTCCCTGTATCCCAAGCTTTGTATGAGTTAGTGGATGTTGTGGCCTGGCCCACCCACATCCTGTTTCAAGTTACACCTCATGGTGGTGCAGCCTGGACCTGCCCAGCCTGTTTTTCCCTGCCCTAGTACCTGAGAGTGTTGGCGGTTTCCATGGTCATGCCTAGCTTAGCCCATCTGTACCTCCACTCTTAAGCTAACAAGCAGGACTTGGCAGTTCCACAGGGTTAGACTCATATATCCCCTACAGAATCTACTCCTGGACCTGGTTCTCTTGCATGCTGGTTAGTGTCATGGCCCAGGCTAACATTACCTGTCTCCTCTTCTGACACTCAGTGCTGTGTACTATGATCTAACCCTGCCAGAGAGGTCCCCAGCCCTGGCTTTTGTGTAGGCTGACATGTGGTGGTTAGTAGTGTTCCATGCTATCTAGCCCAGCTCAGGTCTCCCACGTGGGCTGGTGCATTGGTCTGACCCATAAATGTCCTCCAGCCTCTCTCCTCCAAACCACCAGGTCTCTCAGCCCCCTCACTTACCTGGAAGCACAGTGGCCTTGTTGTTGGGAGTTCCTCAGGAGTCATCCCTCACCTGCAACACACTCCCACAGAGGTCCTCCCTCTTCCATATCCCCTTGTTCCTTTCTGTAATTGATCTGCAATCTGTGTGTCCAGTAGTGCATGGGTTCTCCAACCCAGCCGTCAGAAGCCCAGTGGGTGATGTGCTGGTCTGGAGCTCTGCCTGCCCACCAGAGTCCCAAGGTCCTGTGACATATGCTGGCCTGGTGTCTTACCCCTCCAAATTCCCAAGATCCAGGCCCATTGAGGTTCTCCAGGCGTGGTCCCTAGCATACCAGGGTAGCATACTAAGCTTGGACTCTCCTTCCCCTCCCCTCTCTTCACCTCAGCCAGGGCCAGGCACATGGGGAAATCCCCAGGATTGACTCACCTGTCTAGAGGTGAGCCCGCATGTCCCCACATGCCCCTCTGGTACTTTGTCCCCAGACGCACCCCCAAGCCTGCATCTTCAGCCCCTCCCCCCCATGAGCCAGTGCCATCTGCCAACCACCCAACTTTCCCCAACCCAACCCCTGCAAGCCTGGCTCGGTGTGGGAATGGCAGCAGTCACTGCCCCGTATGCCAGCCCCTTAATCT